AGAGATTTTCCTTTGAAGTAATTTTAAGGAGATACAAAAACTACATTGTAAATATAAAAAGTTATTTTGTTTTAATTGTTATGAGAAAAAGGCTGTGATATCTAAAAAGAGATAGGTGTCTAGTTTAAGCACTGTGATTAAAAAGCTATTCTTGTTTATGACATTTTCATCAGTATTTTTCAGTTTTTGTACAACCTTATTATGTTGTTATGTGAATTAAATTCGTTGATCGTCGAGCTTGATAGTTAATACTAAAGTCTGATTCCTAATGTTCTTCCGAAATGATTTCGGAAGAAGTAGATGAGAAGAAATAAAGCAACAAGTTAGAAAAAGTCGTTCATTTTATTTGTCTATATATACATCACAAGCGATTGTTCTTCTCCTAAAGGAATATACACATTAATGGACACACATACATGTACACTTACTAAAAATTGTCAACTGATAGCAATCAATTTTGCAGGTTTATCACAAGGCGACCAACAAGCCATGAAATGAACTGGTGTTATGGCACTCTAATTTATGGATGTCGCTAAAAGTTTGGAAGATTGCAAAGCTATGAGATGACCACGAGGGACTGCTAAAAGTTCAATAATCTATTGAAAGAAAGAGACTAATAAAAATTTAACATGAACATGATTTTTTGTTTATGAAATAAATAATCTCATTATACTGTGAATAGAGAAAACCGAAACGTAATGCTCTTAAAGCTGTAGACAGCGTTAAACTAAGCCACTACGAAACCAAAACCCACTCATTTATGGGTTCTACTCAACACTGTACAGATGTACTATGGCATGAAGACTAAAGGCGAATAGAATTCTTTCACTTTCAATAAATAGAGATAGGCCATTGATCACACGGGAATCACATTATAACACCGCTCTCCCTCCATGCTGGCTCTCACAGAATGAGTTCCACGACCCCACGGGAGACACTGCGCTTTTAGTGCAGCAGAGAATCAGAAGACCCGGCCTGCGCAAGAAAAGGCAACACCAAGACCTCACCTCGCGGAGCTAAGAGACGCAGTTTCTAGTATCCTTGCTGCTCACCGTCGGCGTCGATGGAGATGCCGTCATTCGAGGGTCCTCCCTGGCTGTAGCCACCCTGGCTGTAGCCATCCTGGCTACCCTTGCCGCTTTGCCTGCCGCTTTGCCTGCTAGAGTATCCACCCTGACTTCCGGAAAAACCGCCCTGGCCGCCTGAATAGCCACCCTGCTGTCCGGGGCCGCCGCTGGGGTAGCCGCCCTGCTGTCCTGGGCCGCCGCTGGGGTAGCCTCCCTGCTGTCCTGGGCCGCCGCTGGGGTAGCCTCCCTGCTGTCCAGGGCCGCCGCTGGAGTAACCGCCCTGCTGTCCGGGGCCGCCGCTGGGGTAACCGCCCTGCTGTCCAGGACCGCCGCTGGGGTAACCGCCCTGCTGTCCGGGGCCGCCGCTAGGGTATCCGTCGCTGCTACGGCCGTCACCGATGATGTTGTCCGTCTGTTCGTAGCTGATGGTGGGCTTGTAACCATCCTGGTCGGCGGTGTACTCCACCGTCTGCACGCGGCCGTCAGGGAGCAAGACGTGGTACTTGCCGCGCGTCAGGTCACCGTCGCGGGACTCGGAGTGGCCGAACTGGGCGCCGGTCTCGGGGGCGTCCACCTCGTAGGAGAACTCGTACTTTGCTGGCTCGGACTGGTCGTCATCGTCTCCGTTTCCGTTTCCGTTATTCCTGCCGCCGAAGCCGGGAGCGCCGTAAGTGTCAGATGGGGCACCACGACCAGAGCCGGGAGCACCGTAAGTGTCAGAAGGAGCACCGCGACCAGAGCCGGGAGCGCCGTAAGTGTCAGAAGGAGCACCGCGACCAGAGCCGGGAGCACCGTAAGTGTCAGAAGGAGCACCGCGACCAGAGCCAGGAGCGCCGTAAGTGTTTGAAGGAGCGTTGGATGCGGAGTCACTAGGAGCGCCGTAGGTCGAGGAAGGTGCTCCAAATCCAGATGAAGCGTCATTGGGAGCGCCGTAGGTCGAAGCCGGGGAAGCGGGGCCGCGCGTTGAGCCGCGGGTCGAGGGGGCGCCGTAGGTCGCGGAGGGGGCGGAGAAGCCGCGGGGCGTGTTGTCGGGGGCACCGCGTGAGGAGCCAGCAGGGGCACCGTAGCTGGAGGAGGGAGTGCCGAAACCGCGAGAGGAGCCGCTGGGGGCGCCGTAGGTCGACGATGGGGCGGAGAAGCCACGAGGGGTGGTGTCGGGAGCGCCGTAGGTGGACGATGGAGCAGAGAAGCCACGGGCTGAGTTATCAGGGGCACCGTAAGTGGAGGATGGGGCTCCGGCGCCGCGGAAGCTGCTGGGGGCGCCGAATGAGGGGGCTCCGAATCCACGAGCCGAGCTGCCGCTGCTGGGTGCGCCGTACGACGAGGATGGGGCGGCGGAAGACGGGGCACCGTAGCTTGAAGAGGGCGCTCCGAAGCGGCCAGAGTCTGAGGGGGCTCCGTAGGTGGAAGAAGGCGCGCCGAATGCAGAGCCGCTGGGAGGGCCGTAGCTGGAGGACGGCGTTCCGAAGCCCGACGAGGGTCCGCTGGGGGCGCCGAAGGAGGACGATGATGCTCCGAAGCGGCCTGAGTCGGAGGGGGCGCCGTAGGACGATGATGGGGCTCCGAAGTTAGACGAGGGGCCGTTGGGAGCTCCGTAGGAGGACGAAGGGGCTCCGAATCCAGACGAAATGCCGTTGGGTGCCCCGTAGGATGACGAAGGAGCTCCGAAACCAGACGAAGACGCGCCGTTCTGGCGGTCACCGAAGCGGCCGCCAGAGCCGCCGCCGGGAGGTCCGTAGCGCGAGCTGGGCCGGCGCGAGGACGCGGACGGAGGCCCGTACCGGGAAGACGGCGCACCGCCGGCAGGGCCGGACGGCCCGGTGGGCCCGGACGGCGGCCCGTAGCTCGTCGAGGGGCTCTTGAAGCCGGAGGACACGGCCGAGGTGATGCCGGACGGCCCAGAGGAGTAGTCACCGGAGTCAGAGGTCTCGGACGGCGGCAAGTACCCTCGACCCGGGCCAACGGGTGGCTCGGCGAACACGGTCGCCAAGGCCAGCCCCAGAAGCGCCACAACCTGGGGACAAAGGAGGAGCACGGTCAGCACGGTCAGCCGTCCGGTGAGTGAAAGTGAGCGCGCCCCCGAGTTGAGCCGAGCATGTATTGTCGGACCCCGCGTCTCCTTAATCACGAATCAAACCTCCGCAGCGGTATCAATCAGAACCAGGGCCCGCGGGGGGTCAGGGGCCTTCGCCCCGCGCTGCCGGAGCGCAGGGACCGAGGCAGGGACACTCCCCCCTCCCTCCCGCGCGCCGCCCCCGCACCGATGCGGTGCGGTGTGCATCTGGGGCCCTTTCGCCGCCTCGTCATACGCTACATTGCCAAATAGCGCGATGCCATACCGACCCGACAGGGGGCCGCCTGTGCTTGTTATGCGTGCTGCACCACGCCACGCCACGCCCTCGGTGAACGTGGTGTCGAGTGTAAAGAAAGGAGAGAAAAAGCTCGAGCGGCAACGATAGGGCGCGCGCAATCCCGAAGGGACGGGGGACCAGGACCTGACTAGCATAGCATTGGGGAGCAGCGAACCAGAGCCACAAGTGCAAGTGCTGCCAGGCCCGTTGCGGACCCTAAGGATCTCCAGTGGGTCCCACGCCAGTTTGGACGCCCTCTTGAGCTGGATAGCGGCCTTGACCGACCATAGCCGGGGGAGACCAACGGCGGCAGCCCCGGGGCCGGCCGGACCGCACTTCAGGTGTGAAACGGCGGAACGACACTTGTCGCCTCAGAGCGGGCCCGACCCCAACAACCGCGCCGCCGTTGCCTAAAATTCAACCTTTTTTTTCCCGGCTACCTATGCTAGAATGCACCTTGTCCTTGAGGTGCAGCGAAAGGCGTTAAAATAGTTAGGGCGCGCCGCGAGGAACATTGGAGAGAGGGGAGGAGGGAGTATAGGCCTACAAAACCCCCGACTTGCTTCCCAATTTTCGCAAAATATTGATGAAAACAGTTGCAAAACTTTTCCTGAGGGGCTCTCGTTTCTGTCCTGCGAAGAGCAGCAGCTCTAGTATAAAATGCTGAGGGCTTGGTGCGGCGCGGTCCTCGGGTGATTGTCATGTCAGCCGAGCCGGAGGTCGTTCGCACGGGGCGGCGGCGGGTCCGGCTCCTCTGATTGACCGGAGGGCACACGACATTCAGAACGCGAGCTCGAAAAGCGCGGGAAAGTCGATGACACTTTGAGACGCCTCCGCCGCCATAGTTGAGGCCCGCGGGCGAGGACGGTCGCTTTGCATGACGATCAGGGCGGCTGGACCGGCTAGACCCCGGGGTCCTTTTGTGCCGGTCAAGCGGCCCTCGGGACGCGTTCAAAAGAGATGCGAGAGTCTTGTGCCCTTCTCGCAAACGCGGCGGCACGCTAGAGTGCGTCGACATGACCATCATGTGTGACTACAAAGGAAATGATTCAAAGCACAAATGAAAAAGAAACTGTTTATACTGTAAAAAAATCGACGATTTCTTAAGAGTTTGAATTAACTACACAGTTTAACACGTTTAGTCCCACGTGACCACACGCGTGGTCACAATAACACGTGTTTGCTACCCCCCCCCCCTCCGACTCAACGTGTTAAAACTGTTAAATTTGTGTACAGTGAGCGACACGAAACAACAGAATTTGAAATTGTAAATATTAAGTACGACGTGGATTTTTACAAAAATAAATCAAGGCTTGTTTTTTACAGTGCTACTACAGTATCGTGATCAGTTACGCGTTTAAGGGGTTGAAGGAATTCTCTCAAATTAACTGAATTCAGATTAACATGAAATAAGTCAAATTTCCTTTTGGATCAATGGAAGCACTTTTTGAAGTGAAATCAGGGTCCGTTTTTATTGGTGCAGTTACTTCATTATTAAAGTGTTTCATTATAATTACATTTACAAGATCATTATTCTTAAAAGGAATCGTTAAAATAGAAAACCTTGCAAAATGATTATTTTATGGAAAATTGGGGATTTGAAACGACCAATCCTCTAACACTCTGTAAAACAAAATTGGAAACTGTTCACCTACCTTGATGGTTGTCATGGCGAAGGTTTGTGGTGCAACTTGGAAGCACACTCACACAGTCTCCCCCTCTCTCTCTCTCTCTCTCACTCACACACAAACACTCTCGCAACACACTGACACTAGCACTTGTCTTCAACACACTCGCTTCGATAGCGCCGCTGCTGCTGATGTTGCTCGCAGGTCAGCTTGGATTGAGGGGTTCTCAAATTGTGCCGTCTTCCAGCCCCGGCGGTGCATTTATACGGCACCGCCTGGCGCCTCCCCTCCCGGGTGGCTCCGCGCGCAGCAGCCGCCTCCCTCCTCTTCATCCTGGGGGGCGTACCGCCGCGGCGCTCAGGGCGGAGCGAGGCGGGGCGGGGCGAAGCACACACGGGCGGGGCGGGGAACGGTAGCAAGTCGTAGGTGCACAGGCATTGGTTCAGCATTAGCATCGGTTGGAATACGGTGATTCACCGCGAGGATCACTTTCATCCCTGACCATTCTTCTCCGCGTGTGTCCGTGACCGGAGGACGGGGGGAGAGGGCCCGGGGAGTGGGCAATGGGCGTTTGATGGAATCGCCACACCGACCTTCGGAACGACTACTCCTTTCCATCATTGATTCTAAATTTAGATCTTTTTTTGTTGTTTAAATATGAGAGTGCATACGTAGTGACCGTGAACAGTCAGGTATCGTGTCAGGTGCAAATAGATCAGGTCGACTGATGACACGAGGAGCCCCGTGTAACCCGTCTCGTTGCTCGGGCCCACCGAGGTGACGGGCCGCACGCGCGCACGTGTGTGTGTGTGTGTGTGTGTGTGTGTGCGTGCGTGTGGGTGTGCCGTGATGTAAGTTTATGCCGGCCACTCGTTGTGTGTCCAGTGCCGCTCCCGTGCCCATCTTCCGCACAGAGAGCCGAATTTTTCGGGGTCCGCGCCGAACTGGTTCCGCGAGCAACGTAGCGCATCAAGCGGGCCAGCGCCCACATACTGCGATGCACCTTAAGGTTACATTTTGAGCAGAGCCTCTTCTTTTTTGCTGGCTCCTAGTAGTAAATTGGGGTCAAACAAGTAAATCTGTACTCTTCATGTTTCCAGTGAAATACCTACCTCCCCACCACCTCCCTGTATTGATTCGGGTGCGCCCAGTAGTAAATTGGGTTCAAACATTTAAATGAGTACTTTTCATGTTTCCAGTGAAATACCCACCACCCATACCTCTCCCCTCCCACCTCACTGTATTGATTCATGTGCTCCTAGAAAAAACGTCCCCTGAGGTGATGCGAGGGACGCAAGGAAACGTATTGTTTCCCGAGACAACGGGCGGGCGCGGGCGCTCTCGGCGGGCCACCGGCCTGACACGGGTGCTTTACGGGTGGGCCTACACTGGTAAAACAGGTGTGCAATATTTGCACACCAAAAGTTGTAATTTATCGTGTTTAACTCAAGTTGCACACTTGCGTGGAGTGCATATTTCAGACGTTTTGTAAACGTTTAAATTCTGCACACTTGGACACACACAGTTCTATGCTGTAAATAGGGAACCACACGGTGTGCAGCTGCTATACGTTTCGGAAGTGTCGAAAGTTTAAACACCAACTAACGTATAACATAGTTAGACACAACAAAGTGTCGAGAAAATGCACACTTGAACTTAAACGTCAATAATTGACGTGCAAAATTAAACACTTGTTTTACCAGTGTACTCGGCGCGAAAGGAATCATCCAATAGTGAGTCCGTCATTCGCTGTTACGAACCTGCCAAGTTGAGCCTCTACCAGCTCTCATAACGCCTGATGGGTAGGCAACATCGTGTATGCAGCGCATGCATGTGCCGCGGGGTGGCCTACCCCGAGTCTCGCAGGCGTCAAGCTCCCGTCCGTAATACATGCCGAATGAATCTGAGGAAAACGGGCGCACTCTCTGGGCCATCCAAAACGCGTCAAACGCTCCTAGTCGGTATATTGCGTGGGCAGCTTTCCGGGGGCATCTTTGTCCAGCAGGCAAGGCGGGGGGAGTCACCACCTGGAATCCTGCTGCGACATACACGTGCTACACGGCGTGTGCCTGGGGTCAGGTGACACAGCCTTCCGACGGCGGACACGCCTTGTAGCCGCAGCTCTTCGCGCGCCGCGGTGAGGTGCGCCCCGCGCCCCGCCCCGCTACGCCACGCCCTGGGAGGAGAGCGCCTTCGGGCTCCTTGCGTTCTAGACGAGTGCTCCGCGCTGCGTCCCGTCCGTCCTTGCGCAGGGTCTCGCGGGGTCCCGCTAGGCGGACCGTCGGTGAAAAGCACCTGTGAGGATCACGGTCACTCGGTCATAAAAGGACTCTAGATCCTCTCCAGGTCTGGCCTGTCCTGTCCGTGACACCCGCCGGCAGCACCCGCCGCCCCCCACGGCCCTACAAACACTTACAACCTGCTCCATTTTTCAAATATTTTATATTTGTTGTTGTTGGTTTAGTGTGTGGACTTTGCAGATCTCTGGGATAGGCGACGCGGCCGACGTCACTGCACAGTTAACTACCCCCGTGCTCGTCGCAATATGTGGCCGATTCTTTTACCGCGATATCTCGAAACCTTTGACCTCGTCTCGTGGAAGAGCCCC